CTCTCAGGAACGTGCACGTCACACACACACTCTCAGGAACGTGCACGTCACACACACAACCTCAGGAACGTGCACGTCACACACACAACCTCGGCCTAATGATGTGAGTATTTCTATTTTAAACTTTTATTTTTTCATTTAGCCTTTATTTATACAGGTAGTCTCACTGAGTCAAGAGAACTCATTTTAAAGAGAGACCTGTTTAGGAGCAGATGGTGGGGGTTAAGGGCCTTGCTAAGGGGGCCAGGGTGGGGCCAATGAGGGTGGAGGCAGGTGTGGGTGTTTCACCTTTTCCACCTCATTTTGATGTTGACGGTACCGGGAGTTGAACCTGCGACTTTCCGATCACAGGCCCATCTTGTAACCTCTGCTCCACCACTCCCCCACATAACATCATATCATAATGGTCATGGTCATATTAAAATCTCACTGGTTTCCTTCCAGATGTGTTAAACAGCTACTGGTCCCCTGATGCTTCCAGGTGTCTGTGGTCAGTGGATGAAAAGCCTGGCATGAACAAGATGATGCTGGAGATCATCATTTGAGGAGAGCTCCCACCTTCTAACTGTGAAGAACAAGAGCAGCTCAGTGATTCCCTCAAGGCTCAGTGAAGGTGCTGAGAGCTGCAGAGAGGCTGATCCATGGAGCTTCAACACAGCAACCTCCAAACATGTCCACCCTCACACACATCGTCCATGAAGACACTGGACCAGAGCACAAGATAATAAGACAGTGTTAACAACAACAACAATACACATTCACAAATGATTCATACAGTTTTAAGTTTTTTTAATTGTTTGTTTGTTTTACAATTTAAAAACAGTTTGTTATCCATTGTTGTCATCACTCTTTGTTAAAATCCAGGTCTCTCTTGTAAATGAGTCCTATTGGCTCAATGGGACTAACCTGTATCAATAAAGGTTGAATGAATATATATATATATATATATATATATATATATATATATATATACAGTAGATCTTAATAAAAATGTATCAGTGACTGTGAGTTTTGCAAAAGTGTCATAAGAATATTTTATTAGTGTTAATGTTAACTCCACCAAGAATATTTAAATACACTGAACCATGTGTTCAGCTTTAATGGCTGTACTCATGAGATTTACAGAGGAAAAAATCGTGAGAATGAGTTTAGTATTCAGCTCTGACTGATTAAACGCGCAGATACTTCATTGCTCCTGTCAAACAGGTTTGGAGCGGTCGACCGTTTCAAGATGGCGGCCCTGCAGCTCGTCAGCGCCAATGGGCGATAGCGGTCAATGCTGTATCTAGTCATTATATATCTATGCTGCAGAGAACCCCTTCTCGATTGTCGTGGCAGCTTGTAGTTACAGACACACACTGGGTGGTGGCGCCAGCGCACCAAGATGCTGTTTGTTAAACCAAATTTAAAACCGTAGAAGAAGTCGACACAAACCGAAAAATGCAACGAGAAAAATCAAGCAGCGCCGGCGCGGCTGAAAAGTGAGAAATACATCTTTAAATTCATAAATTGTGTTATAAATTACATTTAGAACTCTTTTGTTTTCCCAGTGTTTATTCTCAGGTTCTCTGTTTTTCCACAATTATCTAAATGATGTATTTTTTTCTCTCTCTCCAGGCCCGACCGTGAGGCCGCCATCATGTCCAAATACTACGATGGAGTCGAGTTTCCTTTCTGCGACGAGTTCTCCAAATACGAGAAAATGGCCAAAATTGGACAGGGAACCTTCGGGTGAGTCAGGGCTGTTTTAAACGTATTTAGTTGTGGTGTGGCGGACACAAACGTATATTTCACACCAGAATGTGAAAGGGAGAGAATAGATTCCACGCTCGGTGTTCGTATGGATTAAGCCCATTAATTACATTTATTTTCTCAATGTACCGCTCCTTTGCATCTTTGTTTAGCTTTTCACAGTAAGGGATCTTGCAGTTGCTCTTGGCACGGTCCATTTGTGCTCTGTTGCTTCCGTTTTGCGTATCGGCATCCACCCAGAATGCAATGCGCCAAGACCAAGGTTGTCATCCCTTGTTTTTCCTTGTTTTGATGTTATAAGACATTGAGAATAAAGTGTGTCAAAATACTTTACGTTTCTTTCTCCTGACTTCCACATTGATGACCCCGAACATCTGAACATGTTTTCAAAGGAGAACTCACCAGGTGCTGAAGCTGCTTCTCCACCAGCTGTGGTTTCGGACCCAGTTTCTTGCCAGGCACTTTCTCCCAGTTCAATGGGGCGGCTGTGGCTGAGTGGTTAAGAGCAGTTGTCCTCCAGTGCGAGAGTTGGGGGTTCGAATCCACCAGCAGTCACATGCTGAAGTGTCCCTGGGCAAGACACTGAACCCCTCATAGCCTCTGATGTGTGTCCCATCAGTGTATGAATGTGATTTAAAGCACTGATTAGTCTCTTTAGAATGATTTGTTCAATTAGCTTTGTAGAGATCTAGTAGAGTGCTATGTGAATGGGTAAATGAGGACACAGATTGTAGTGTAAAGTGCTTTGAGTATCTTGAAATGAGTTAGAAAGGCGGTATATAAGTCCAGTCCATTTACCATTCCATTTCTGTGGGATAACCACAAATGAGACCAAGTACTTTCACGTTGTTGCTGCTTTGGATTCTGGTTCCACCTGCCGTCTGATGGGTCTAGGGCTGGGTACCTTTCTAAAAAAAATCGGTACCTGGACGGTTCTTTTTTCTGTACCAATTTCGTAATTAATATTAATTCTAACAAGAATAAAATTACGTTACACATTACAGTACATATTGTGAATTTTATTTTTAACTTTGGTATTTCTATGCCAAGCAGTTTTCTTACATTAAAATAAACATAATTTCCAGTTCAAAAGAACTGTTGCAAACAACAAGTGACACGTCAGTGTCTAATGCTCACTGCTACACACTGAGGACCTTTTCACTTAACAGTTTTTCTTCAGAAACAACATGTCTGCTTTCTCTGGACACAAACAAGCCCACTCCTGGCTGATGGTGTCTCCAGCAGTAGGAAGTGTTCCCTCTGAGGCTGTAGATGATGCTTGTTGCACACACAGATACCTGGTTGTCAAGTTTGATAGCACTGACATATTGTCCCTCACATTCCACCAGCAGGTCACTGAATTCACTAAGGTTAGAGTTGATGCAGACTTCTGCACCTATGTGTCTCTTCCTGAATCTTCTTTGTGATTCTCAGGGGTTTAGGGCTCTGATCATTTCCCTAATTGACATGAGAACAAACATCAACAATAACATGTTTGTGTTATTATTACTCAAAAAACATTATCTAGGCTGAGAGATAAAAGTTTAACTGGTCAACAAAATCTTTTACAGCTTAATTTACCTCCACCGTGCAGCTCCACTGTAAAAAAGACAGCAAACTTTTAACAACAAAGTCTGTGATTGTCCTGTGGCCTCCACCTCGCTTTTCTGTCTGTCCTCACATCTGGGTCAGAACCTCCTGTGAGGAGAACGTTAACATAAACAGTGAACATTAGCCCCTCCCTGGGCTGCCACCTTACCGTGGTGGAGGGGTTTGAGTGTCCCAATGATCCTAGGAGCTATGCTGTCAGGGGCTTTATGCTCCTAGTAGGGTCACCCATGGCAGACAGGTCCTAGGTGAGGGACCAGACATAGTGCAGCCCAAAGCCCCGATGATGAGACGAATAAATGGACCTAGTGTTCCCTTGCCTGGACGTGGGTCACCGGGGCCCCACTCTGGAGCCAGGCCTGGAGGTGGGGCACGCGGGCGAGCGCCTGGTGGCCGGGCTTTTACCCATGGAGCTCGGCCGGGCACAGCCCGAAAAGGAGCCGTGGGTCCCCCTTCCCATGGGCTCACCACCTGTGGGAGGGGCCAAAGCGGTCTGATCCTTGGCTACAGAAGCTGGCTATTGGGACGTGGAATGTCACCTCACTGGTGGGGAAGGAGCCTGAGCTGGTGTGTGAGGCTGAGAGGTTTCAGCTAGAAATAGTCGGACTCACCTCTACGAATGGCTCGGGCTCTGGAACCAGTTTCCTTGAGAGGGGCTGGACACTCTTCCACTCTGGAGTTGCCCCTGGTGAGAGGCGCCGAGCAGGAGTGGGCATACTTATTGCCCCCCAACTTGGTGCCTGTGTGTTGGGGTTCACCCCAGTGAATGAGAGGGTGGCCTCCATCCGCCTGCGTGTGGGGGGACGGGTTCTGACTGTCGTTTGTGCTTATGCACCAAACGGCAGTTCAGATTATCCACCCTTTCTGGAGTCCTTGGAGGGGGTACTGGAAAGTGCACCTCCTGGGGACTCCCTTGTTCTGCTGGGGGACTTCAATGCTCATGTGGGCAATGACAGTGAGACCTGGAGGGGTGTGGTTGGGAGGAACGGCCCCCCTGATCTGAACCAGAGTGGTGTTCTGTTGTTGGACTTCTGTGCTCGTCATGGATTGTCAATAACGAACACCTTGTTCAAGCATAAGGGTGTCCATATGTGCTCTTGGCACCAGGACACCCTAGGCCGCAGTTCGATGATCGACTTTGTCATCGTCTCATCTGATCTGCGGCCACATGTCTTGGACACTCGTGTGAAGAGAGGGGCGGAGCTGTCCACTGATCACTACCTGGTGGTGAGTTGGCTCCGATGGTGGGGTAGGATGCCAGTCAGACTGGCAGACCCAAACGTATTGTGAGGGTTTACTGGGAACGTCTGGCAGAGTCTCCTGTGAGCTGGAGTTTTAACTCCCACCTCCGGGAGAACTATGAACATGTTCCGAGGGAGGTGGGGGACATTGAGTCTGAGTGGACCATGTTTCGTGCCTCTATTGTCGAGGCGGCTTACCGGAGCTGCGGCCGCAAGGTTGTCGGTGCCTGTCGCGGTGGCAACCCTCGAACCTGATGGTGGACACCGTCGGTGAGGGATGCTGTCAGGCTGAAGGAGTCCTATCGGGCCTTTTTGGCCTGTGGGACCCCGGAAGCAGCTGATGGGTACCGGCAGTCCAAGCGACATGCCGACAGGTGGTCGCTGAGGCAAAAACTCAGGCATGGGAGGAGTTCGGAGAGGCCATGGAAAACGAATTCCGCACGGCTTCGAGGCGATTCTGGTCCACCATCCGGCGTCTCAGGGTGGGAAAGCGGTACGCCACCAACACTGTTTATAGTGGGAGTGGTGTGCTGCTGACCTCAACTCGGGATGTTGTGGGTCGGTGGGCGAAATACTTTGAAGACCTCCTCAATCCCACAGGCACGTCTTCCACTGAGGAAGTGGGGCCTGGGGACTCTGGGTCGGGCCCTCCAATCTCTGGTGCTGAGGTCACCGAGGTGGTTAAAAAGCTCCTCGGTGGCAGAGCCCCAGGGGTGGATGAGATTCGCCCAAAGTTCCTTAAGGCTCTGGATGTTGTAGGGTTGTGTTGGCTTACGCGACTCTGCAATATTGCGTGGACATCGGGGAAGTTCCCCTGGATTGGCAGACTGGGGTGGTGGTCCCCCTATTCAAAAAGGGGGACCGTAGAGTGTGTTCCAACTACAGGGGAATCACTCTCTTAAGCCTCCTTGGTAAGGTCTATTCGGGGGTTCTGGAGAGGAGGGTCCGTCGGATAATCAAACCTCGGATTCAGGAGGAGCAGTGTGGTTTTCGTCCTGTCCGTGGAACACTGGACCAGCTCTACACTCTCAGCAGGGTCCTGGAGGGTGCGTGGGAGTTTGCCCAACCAGTCTACATGTGCTTTGTGGACTTGGAGAAGGCGTTCGACCGCGTCCCTCGGGGGGCCCTGTGGGGGGTACTCTGGGAGTATCGGGTACCGGGCCCTTTGATACGGGCTGTTAGGTCCCTGGATGACCGGTGTCAGAGCCTGGTCCGCATCGCCAGCAGTAAGTCAAGCTTGTTCCCGGTGAGAGTTGGACTCCGCCAAGGTTGCCCTTTGTCACCAATTCTGTTCATAACTTTTATGGACAGAATTTCTAGGCGCAGCCAAGGTGTTGAGGGGATCCGTTTTGGTGGCCTTAGCATTGCGTCTCTGCTTTTTGCAGATGATGTGGTCTTATCGGCTTCATCAGATCGTGATCTACAGCTTTCGCTGGAGCGGTTCGCAGCCGAATGCGACGCGGCCGGGATGAAGATCAGTTCCTCCAAATCCGAGGCCATGGTCTTGAGCCGGAAAAGGGTAGAGTGCCCTCTCCGAGTCAGGGAGGAGGTCCTACCCCAAGTGGAGGAGTTCAAGTATCTTGGGGTCTTGTTCACGAATGAGGGAAAAATGGAGCGTGAGCTCGATAGGCGGATAGGTGCAGCGTCTGCAGTGAAGCGGGCGCTGTACAGGTCTGTCGTGGTGAAGAGAGAGCTGAGTCAAAAGGCGAAGCTCTCAATTTACCGATTGATCTACGTTCCCACCCTCATCTATGGTCACGAGCTTTGACCCGACCCCGGATAAGCGGAAGAAAATGATTGGATGGATGGATGGAGTGAACATTAGGTGAACTGTTTAAGCAGCTGACTGGATGGATGAGCACATTTTTACAAGCTAAGCTTCATCTTTTACTGTCAATCTTTAGTTAGCTTCTGAGTTTAGCTAGCTACGCAGATAAAATAAATTTACACACTAATATCTTAAAGTTAGCGTTATTTCACCGCTATGTACGTGTTAAGCTGCAATAGCGTTAACAAACGTAACAAAGTCCATGCTCAATAATCCAGGTATAAAATCCAACATTTTTCAGTCAGGTCAGTCAGGTTAACAAACAATTCAATTTCAATTCAGTTTATTTATAAGATGTAAGA